CCCCCCCCCCCCCCAACCCCCCGCTGTTTTTAGACTGCAAACTCCCCGCTCTCTTAAGCCGCGTTTTCTCCAACACACACAAACGAAAAAACAAAAAAAAAAAAAAACAGACGAAAACGCTTCAGGAGGGTTAAAACGAAGAAAAGAGCATTATGATCATGAGTGATTTGGAAGGTGATTTGGAGGACTAGGTACTTCACCCAACCCCAGTGATTTGGAAGACTACTTACTTCACCCAACCCCCTCTCTCATACTTCGCCCAGATCCAACACTACAAAGCCCCCCTATCATATTTCACCCATGAGCCCCTCGCCACCCCCCGACTAGTACCACTAGTCGCCGGGAAAAGTCTTCTCCAAGACACACAAAGGAGAAAGCCACACGAAAACGCATCAGGGGGGTTAAAAGCGAAAATAATATTCATGTTGGGTGGTTCGGAAGCTTTGCAAATGGAGGGGGAGGGGGGGATGCGCTTTTAGACAGCAAACTCCCCTTTTTTTTAAGCCGCGAAGAAATGAACCAAAACGTCCTTTGGGCGTGCTTGAGATATACCGTGAACTAGAATCGCCAAAAGAGAAGGCGTGTGTAAGATGTAAAATTAACCGAAAGCGCCAAATGAGTAAGCGTAATACGACAAATACGATGACCCGGAAAAGCTAAATGAGGGGTGTGCTTAAGATCGCCAACTCAAGGGGTGCGTTTAAGTTACACGGTGTGCTGGAATCGCCCAATGGGAGCGTAATAAAGATATGTGGTGAGGGGCTATGATGACCGGAATCGCAAAATGAGGGCGCAGTGAACCGGAATCGCCAACAGAGAAGGCGTGTTTGTTCCAGATACTTAATTGGGGTTGCGAACGCCACCCATATACGTGACCGCATGTCGAGCGCTTCAAACTCTGAAACTTTTCAAACTCGAACTTTCAATCTGTCAAACTCTCGAACTTTCAAGCTCGAAACTCGGCGGACTTTCAAACTTTCCATCTCTACGCACTTCAAACCTTCAAACTTTGCAAACTTTCAATCTTTCGAACTCTCAAACTCGCGAACGTTCATCCCTTTCAAACTTTCGATCTCTGAAACTTTCAAACCTTCGAACTTGAAACCTTTCGAAGTTTGAAACCTTCGAACTTTCAAACTCGTCACCTCAGCCCAAGCCGAAGAGGAAATCTGAAGCCAATCTGAAGCCAACCTTTCAAACTCCGAACTTTCGAACTTTCATTCTTTCGAACTTTCGAGCTTTCAAACTTTCGAACGTTCGAACTTTCAAAGTTTGAAACCGTCGAACCTTCGAATTTGCAAACTTTCAAAGTCTCAAACTCTCAAACTTCGAAGGCCGATCGAACTCGCCCGCGGGAAAAGTTTGAAGTTTGAGTTTCAAGCAGTCAGTCGAGCTCGAAAGTTCGAAAGTTCGAGAGTTCGAAAGTTTGAAAGTTTCGAGTTTGAAAAGTTCGAAGTTTGACGCCGGCTAGCTTGTGCACACCAAGGTGCACAAACTTTCGAACTCCTGCACTTTTCGAACCTTCAAACCTTCAAAGTTTGAAACTTTCAAGCTTCAACCTCCAAACTTTCAAACTTTCAAACCTTCGAGTTCGAACGACCTCGCTCGGGACACCATTCATGGACTTACACACGATGGACTTATAGCCTACTGTGCAAGCAATCCAGTCTGATACTTGCCTCGATGACATCGCCAAGTGCCGTCAACCTGCCGAAGGTTCTCTTGTCTTTAACAGGAAGGGGGGAGTTTGCCAGCATGAAACACTGCCCACGATGTCCGGGACTCGGGCGACTTGTTGATGGACTGAGCCTGCACCAGTGAGTTTAACCGAGAGAGCCGACAGGAGAGCAGTATCCGCCAGCACTTCTCGGCATTTCTGGGAGAAAGATGCCTTCGATTTCTCCGATCCCCAGTGCTTTCGAGCAATGCAGAAGCCCATTGAGGCTCTCCCTGGAGATCAAGGCCTCCTTCATCTGCTCGCCTGTCACCTCGCTCTTCTTCAGCCGCTCGGAGCCTGGCCGCGCTAGGAAGGACGGACAAAGGACAGTCTTCCGACTATTCTTCGGGACTTCGGGCTTTGATGGAGATTCGGCGACTGTGCTGAGACGAATTCAACGCAAGTTTAAGTAAGTATTGCTCTTGCGCTTCTCAGCTGCACAGTGCAGTATAGATGGAGTCACGGAGACTATCTATGAGACTACAAGCCTCAGGGTTCTCACGGATGCATGGTCGCAGGGACAATCAAAGGCTGCTGGCGGTTCAGCTCCTTGGATTTTCAGCCTTGCCACCACGGTTGAGACAGAACCCGCGCAGATTTGATGTCTTGCAAGGTGCTGAAAGAGGCGCATTCGAAACGACCTCCAGTCTTTCCCCATCATGTTGATGGTGCGACTAGGACATTATCCGACCGTTTACCTTCATTCTCGGTCCATGAACGTCCGTGGCACATGCTTCGCGGTGTTCTGTCTGGCCCAGGACCCAAAAACTCTTACTTCTCGCACTTAAGTTCGAATTCCCTGACTCTGGGTTGACGGGAACTGCGATCGGCTGGGGCGAGGCTGCTAGGACTCTTAAGCCGATTCACAAGATCCGGGCAAGATGCCTCTGTCACATGGGCCAAAGTCAAGGTTCTCCATTTGATGCCTGTCCGAAGGTAAGACTAATTCGGCCTGCCAGATCGCAAAGGGTCAGCTTGCCGGTGGAGACCTGCACAGGGGACATGCCCCGAATATAAAAGCAAGGCCATGTTCTTTGAAAAGCTTCTGTTTGAGCAGGCACCTTTGCTGCGACTAAACGACGTGCGACGCAACGTAGGGACAGAACAAGAGCTCGGAAACATCAAGCATGTGCTGTGCTGCCATTGCAGGCCCTTCCTGCTTCGACTTCTTGTTCACAGACTCAATTGTGACGATGAAGATCAAATGGGACCTGACATCTGCATATGGTTTTATGAGCTGAACGTCGGGTTGTGAGACTTGCAGAGATCTACATCGAGCAATGTCGTTCAACAGACAGCGGGATTCATCTTGCTTCCCAGGTTTCGGGCGAGGTGCAATGGGCAGATGGGTGTTCGACAAGCAGGGGAGGCTTGGAAAGATGCAACACGTAGGGAAGGCTTTCCTAGGTGTAAACGAATCTTCATACTCTGTGCTGCATGCAAACTTAGTTACGTAATTCGAAGGTGCAAGATATGCAAGAAGCTCTGAACTGCGTCGTTTGCATAAAGCATGCAGGCAGGCCTCTCCGAGGCGTGAATAAAAGCTCTGCACGCTGCACTATTAGGTTTAGTTACTTTATGCGTACTTGCTGTTTGTACTTCTTACTCCTCTACGTTTACGATGTATTCGCCAATTTCCCTTCCTACTTGTTAATCGCTCTTTGCAATATACTCTCAGGCGGATTGCCTCGATCTCACAAAACCACCGGCAAGGCAAGTAAACTCTTTTCAATCTTCTCTGAGCTTGCAAAAGAGCCATTTCTTGTGTGCTGGTTCGGAATACCTCTGAGACTCCTCCCTGCAACTGTAACAGCCGCTGTCTGCTTCTTTTTCGTCTCGAAGGGCACGACTTGTGCAAGACAGCTCCCTGTATGTCTGCTCCCGTTTCGCATGTCGGCTGCAACCCCTCAAAAGCATCGTATTTCACTGCTCTGCACATGCCAGAGTACTGTCTCCCCTTCGTGAGATCCGCACCGGGAAGAGTCTGCATTCATCTTCGTAGCTGCGACCTGCGCTTAAAGTGCTGTCCAAGCCTCTGCTGCTACAATTCGTGCCCTGTCTGCATCGCATGACTTCTGGTTAGGCTACTCGGGACACCACATGCCGCCGGTCCATGCCCGTGCTGATCGTCTTCTGCAGCTCGTCGGGATTGGTTACCTGCTGCTTTGCAGCCTATTCATACTCCGTTCCATGGACTGCAAAAAGTTTGTCAGCGTGTGCCTCGATTTCCACAGCATTCTCCACCTGGCAGAGCGCAAATAAAAACGAACAAGGCCTTGCTAGAGCAGCCTTAGAGCGTGGCGGCACCTTCACCGTCCCCCTCGGATCCTTCTTTATGTCCAGGACCGGAGGGGCTTTGCCCTGATGCGGAGCAACAGGGACAGCTAGAAATCCTGTAGCCTAAAACCCGTCCGGCAGCAGGTCAAATATCTTTAGTGCCCCTAGCTTAGCAGCTCTCTGAAACATCACAGAGGGAAGAGCTCATGTTCTCGATAGCTGGGCTGTCTTGCCAAGTGCCCAACTCAAACCCAAGCGCGAGTGGGACGGAAGGCTTTCGGTGCTGACTCCCGCCCTCCCTGCGTCACTCAGCAGGTCGAAGCGATCCGCTGCGCCTTGGCCTTCGTGAAGAGGAGGTCAACTAAGTCGTCACGGTAGAGCCTTCAGCTGCGGTCCCGGAGCAGGAAGGCACAACTTTGCCCATCCTTCTTCGCAATACGACTGCACGAGCAAGAGGGAGCGGCTTGGGAGAGAGAGATCCTGGTGCACACGCAGCTCGGGTCCCAGCTCAAACATCGAACAAAGGACTTTCGACTCGCATTCGTGGGCATAACGTCCTCAAGGAAGAGCAAAATCGTGTGCAAATTATTCATTATTCTCCCGTCCTATACAGGTGGCCGCCGTTGCTTGTATCAAACGTGTACTTCGGCGTTTCTGAACATTGCAAGCGCTCTTCCTCATCCCGCGCTTCTGCGCTGCTTTTTAAACTGGGACCTGTTGTGCTTTCGGATACTTCGACACTTCTGAATTCTCCCGGCACCCAAAAGGCCCTGAGTGCAAAGGCTGCAAAATCTAGCAAAGCTTACATTTCTCCTACCCGAGGAGTGCTCAATGTCTCCGCTCTATCAGCCACATGCACGGCACAGGCACGTGATGGCACGTGGCTGTTTGTCTGAGGACGGCACTTAGCACCGTGAAAAGCTCCTGATGTCAGGGTTCAGCGATCAGCAAACAAAACTCGTTGCACAGCTTTGGTGTCTCGCCGGTCTTCTGAACGTAAACACCTGTGGAAGTTTAGCTGTCGCATGCCGCAAGCAAATGCCTGAGCCTAGACGGGCTCAAAGACTACAGTTTGTACTGCTGCACTTCGACAACGTCACCGATGAAGTGTACGTCGAGTGTTCTGTCCTCTGCGGCCCGTGGAACCAAGCCGGGCATGGCCTTTGAGGAATGCTGTGTGACTTAAACTTGAATCTTGAGCACGAGCTGCGGACCTCGTTCCCGTACCTTTTGCGGGCAAAGGATGGCAACAAAGGTCAAGAAGGTGCTAGCGGCTAGCGGTAGCTGGCTTGAGAGGTTGGGGCACATGGTGTGAGTCTTCCCTGCACCAGTTTGGCCGTAGGCGAACCTGAGTCGAGCGAGAAACGGATCAGCGCCAGCTACTGGGTGGGGTCCGGCCGAGGCCAGGGCACCGTAACATTGAAGCCGTCGACGGCCGAGCCGATCAATCCACGGCAGTCAGCGAAGACGTCCTCTTGACTGTTGTGCCTGGCCGTCTGCAATGGGGGCTTCGAACTCCCCAGCTCGTCAACAGGATACCTCTACGACTCTACAGTTGCCGCAGCGCGTATTCGCGCTCAAGCAAAACCTTCCTCTTTGGTTCCAGATCCCGACTCCAAGCTGTGAGGAGCAACTAAACATGAAATCTAGCCGGATGAGCTCATCAAAGACAGCGTCGAAGTTGTAGTCCTGCCAGCGTAATCTGTGGACAACCATGGTACTGTCGGGGGACACTGCGATTCGTGCTCGACAAGTTAGGACTGACAACGCTACTCGTAGGTCCATCCTTCGCAGTCGACTTCTTGTCTTTCGCGGCACATTCCAGTGAAAAGGCATCCCGTCTCCAGACGGAGATCTGCAGGCAGCAGGTTTTCGGTTGTCTGCGCAGGCTAGCATGCAAGAGCAGAGACCTTAAGAAGCTCTGGGCAAACCTCGAGCTGGTGTTGAGCTACAAAGCGCGCCAACCTGCCTCTTGATCAGCTTCTCGGGAAACTTTTGGACCTCGTGGTGCGTGTGAACCGGACATGCATAGGCTCTGAAGAGACGTCTCAACCCCATCTAAACTCCGGCTTCCATCCGCTGCCCTGCCCGAGGAGCGTATTCTTGCGAAGACACGAATGGCACCTTTCATGTCCTGCAGGTTTAGACCATGAGGCATGTCGTGTCTCTTGATGCTTCTTGCCGCTTTGCCTGCATCTGATTGTGGTACCGCTTTCGAAGCGCTTGCTCCTGCAGGCTGCTCGAACTTTGGAAAGCTCTCGGGACATTAAGACCATCAGACTATGCACTGCATCTCCTTCTGGAAAGCTTCGTGAACTTCTTCGGTCCGCTTCTTCCAAGGCTCAAGCCTTGGAGAGGACACTGCGTGGCGGCCGCCCGGCAGCGGCTGCGCAGCGAGAGCTCCGGAGTGCCGAGCATCTTCTCCGCCTGCTCTGCCCGCTCCCGCACGCCGCTGAGCTCCGCCACCTCCAGAGACGCCATCGCACGACGTGGCCGCAACATGCTCTGCAAAGGGCTTAGCCTGGCCAGTCAACTGGGTCGCATCTTCCTCCAGTTTTTGGATGGTCAGCTCCTGCAGATGGGACGAAGGCCCACGCCCGGTGCAGCATCCTCTTCCAGCTTGCTTGGTCTGGTCCTTCTCCTTCAACTGACCTTCCAACTCCACCTGATCAAGCTAATGATGAGCTGGCGCAGATCGTAGGCATGTGGGCTGCAGAAGCAGCTCAGCTTCATCGAAACGAAAGAGCCCACCATTCCACCTCCCTCTCCTGCAGCTGCGTCTGCACGGCTCCGAGCCTCAGCACATGCACATCTTGTCGCGCCTGTCGCACATTCGGAAGCCGAAGGTCCTACAAAGCCTAGGGTTTAGGGCAAGGTCGCATGATACGAGGCTCCAAGTTAGGGGCTCTTGGCTGGTCTTGCTCTGCTGCTCCCTGAGCTCCTGTGCGCCAGTGGCAAATGTCTAGTCTGCGGCACAAGAGGCACACAAAGTCGCGACCATAGCAATTCGAAAGCGCTCCTTGTGCTGTGCTCGGAGCTCAGTGAGGTTCTTCCTAAGCTGCGTGTCTCCGGGGAAAGTGTGTGCTAAACACTACCTGGCCGCCCCAAGATCAACCGTATCACAAACAAGACAATTGCCAACGGGAAAAGCTTGAGACATGGCGTTTGCGGCTCAGTGTGCTGCTCTCGACTTACTACGACGCAAACAGTAGATGACAGTAGCACGCCACCAAGAAAGGGTGCACAAACTGGACCGTATGGCAGCCGAGAACAGCAACGCTGAAAGAACGCGACATGTGTCGTGCATGGTAAATGCCACTTTCCGTCATCGGCGCGGCGCACACGCGTAAGACGTCGCAAACTGTTGGAAGGCGTCTTTGGGCCTTCCTGCGGCCAAGAGTCCAGAGCTCTTCCTTCTCAGTCGCCTGTGTGTTCGAAAGGCTTGGGAGGCACCTCCACCTTCCCTCAGATCCGACTCGCGACTCTCGCCTGGCGCTCGAGCTCGCCGTTCAGGCGCTGCACCTCCGCCTTGCGGCTCAGCACGTCGGCCTGGAGACGACGCAGGCGCCGTGGCTTCAAGAGTGCCCAGTGCCATGTTAGGACATGCAAGGACTCTCTGCCTCTTTTTGGGAGAGCTCGGCGGATCTCTCCTGAAGGTTTTGAAAGGAGAAAGAGAATGGCACTGGGCACGGCGGGGGGGCAACGCAAGGGCCTCCAGATCTTTGCCGGAGCGGTCCGCTTGAGACTTCATCGCGTGCAATTCAGCGGTGAGGCCTTGAAGGGGAGCTCCGCTAGCGGAGGCTTAGGCTCTCAACGCCACAAGCTCAGGGCCGAACGCTCAAGCTCAGCATCTTTGGCTTGCAGGGCCTCCAGGGCCTCTCTGCACGACTCTGCAAGATTCGCCCCCAGTTGCTTTGCCTTGCGCTTTTCACGGCCTCTTGCTCGGCTTGCGCTTTCGCTTGCAGCTCTGCATCCTGGCCCAAGAGGCAACAATGGCAGCCGCTCAGTTCTTGTCCCGCACGGCGAGCCTTCTGACTCAGGGCTTCTTCTTTGGCAAAGAGCGCAGCCTTTGCCAGCCGTGTAAGGTCAGGTAAACGTTGTCATGACGACTGCTTTCGACCACGGCCATGGGCTTTCAGCATACAGGCCAACACTGCTCCATCCACCAAGTTCGGAACGTCTTGCGTGGCCGCTTGTTCTGCAGCCTGTTCGGCAAAGCCAGAAAGGAATCGGCGGGAGTTCAGGCGCTGGCCATTGCTGGCTCTGGGCAATCAGTGTGTATGGGGACTGTCATCTTTCGGATTTCCCTCTGCACCGATCATCTGGCCTGTCGGGTGACCGCCGAAGACGGCCTTGAGATGTCCTGGTTTCCAGGACCGACAGGCACACCGCAGAAAGGCAGCGACAGCTCTGTGACTTCTCTTCGAAGGCTTTTTGCTTAACAGATCTTAACATCACCTTCGGCTCCTTGACTGCAGGTCGCTCCAAGGCTTCGTTGCGCTCTGCCGTGATGCGCTTCACGGTGGCCTCTTCTTGCAAAGTTGAGGCTCGTTCCGAAGCTTCTCGAAGCGGCGCCGGCCTCGGCTCGTTCCTGCTTCTCGGCCGCCTCCTCCAGCTGCCGGAGCAGGGACTCTCGCTCCTGCGCGCTGCTGGATGCGACCTTCCTTGCGAATTCCGGTTCCAGGGTTCCAACAGTCCTGCAGCCAGCTATCCCGATCTCTGCCTCAGCTGTGAAGGTTTCTCGGCTTGCCAAGACTAGCCTCACATCGGTGGATTCCTGGTCGAGCTCGTGCCCAGATCTCAAGTACACCCTCATAGTCATTTGGTAGCACTCAGGTCGAAGCCCAGATCCTCTTGCCGCTGCCGGAGCTCGCCCATCTCCTTCAAGAAGGCTCAAGAAGATTCTTTGACTTAGCAAAATGCAGCTTCTCAACGGCTTCTCCTTCTCCATGTCGTCACGGACCGCCTGAAATGCCTCCGAAAAAACGCAGACGCGAAGGCCAAATTCCGCCCCCAGCGCTTCGCTCTGCTTCGCCTCTGCTCCGGGAGCCTCGGAGACGCTGAGTCGTGTGCCTGGGCGAAGTCATCTGAAGATTCAATGATTCGTTCTGTGACTGGACGACGGCATACGACGACTGTCACCCACAGCTTCCATCGCGACTCGCTGCAGAAGCGTCTTCAGGCTTCATGTTCTCTCCGGGGTTCGCGCTTTTCAGCCGCTCCATGGTTGATCTGCTCTGATCGAGCAGTCCTGCAATGGCGCGCCGAGCTGGACTGCCCCAACGCGACGGAGCCCATCCCGAAAGCGTCCTTGAAGGTGCCGAATATTCGCCCGAGCCCTGAGCACACAATGGGCGTTAATTCCAACCAACACCATGATGAATGTTACAAGATCAGGTTTGTGTGCTGCCGAAGGTGCTCATCAAGCTCCTTCTGAAGCCGCTTGGTCTCCTGTGATAGGCGCGAGTTCTCCTGCCAGGGCAAACTCAACTTCATTCCTGCTGAGACGTGCGCGGCCGAGCCAAGCAGCAAGCAGGAGGAGGCGTGCAGTAGCGTAGCAGCTGTAGTAGTAGTGGTAGGTAGCTTATGCGAAACTTACGCACTACTCGATGTACCGGAGCCAGTTTTTTGTACCTCGCTGGAGGCTGCTGCGCATGGGACCCGTCGCCTTCAGAATGTTGGCGCATTCTCTATAAGTCTTATCTATATGCCCCATGTCACTTATGCAAACAACTTCCGGTGGAATTTTGATTCCTTTGGCTGAGCCATCGACACATCGTGGCACAGTCATTCCTTGACAAAGATACGGGCCTTTAGGTCAATGCTCACAGCTGGCGTCCTCCGTCAGCTGCATATCTTGTCCAGCATACCTGGCGGTCTGCGGCTTCTGGCATACGCTCGAGTGCTTGTTCCAGGTCCCCTCTTGCTCTTTGCCATGTCAAAACCGTCATGTCAAGATCAAAGTCACTGGTTCTGAGGGCAGAGCGAGTTCGCTCTCGCCCTTGCCACGCTGGGGGATGGCGGCGCCCATCCGTCACTTCCTGCGGCGGACGCTGCCAGCTTTGATCACTTCTGTAGCAACACAACTTGTCACCTCTGTGCCATGAACTTTGCACATCTTCAAACGACATATGGACGTGATCAGGTCTGGCTGTGCTGCGACAGTGACTCAATTGCTGTCGGCTCCCACCCTCAGAGCCTGCGGTTTTCTCGCTCTGCATGGCCTATCCAGTCGCGAAAAATGGGCTTGGGCAAATTCACCAAAAGCTGAGAGCCTTCAGCGCTAGGGAGCTGGAAGCGAAGTCTTCGGCATCCTGGCTCGGACTGGCTGGTTAGTTGTACTCAAGATTCTTTCCGACAAGTTGCCAACACTTTCGGCATAGGATTCTCAAGCAGGTTTTGCATTTCTGCAGTGAAGAGCTCCTACTGTCGCCATGGACAACATAGGAACCCGGCAAGGGTCTGCAAGTTGCTGAGTCATCCAGTCATCCATCTACAGCCGATGAATCGAGGGTCTTGCAATTTGCTCCACCACGTCACTGCAGGGATGTCGGCCCCATCATTTGGAAGGTTGCTGACCAAGATCGTAACCGTCCGACGTCTTGCTTTGACTCGAGCCCGACCAGGGAGTCGAGGCGCAATCCCTTTCCTACGCAACCCTTCACTTAACTGCAGCTGGATTTCGCACCAAGATCGTTTCGGCTTGGTATGGCTTGATTGTTGCGACTGTCTGATACCCCTTGGGAAGCCCATCTTGCCACTGAAATGCTGTCTCGGCCTCTTGATAAACTCAAGACCAGCCACACACCAATACAAACCGAAGGCAGTGACTGCAAAGAATCAGAACCGTATGTCATATGCCCATTTGGAACAACCGCAAGACTTTGTGGACTTGAGCCTTTGCCACACACTGAGGCACCTCGTCCACAGCATTCAGCAAATCCTGTGCAGTCGCCTGATGGTCCTCACCTTACCAGCGTGGGCTGAGCAATAAGCTACACGCCGTTATTACTTTGACTACTGGCACTGCATTTGCTCCCCCTTCTTGTCCTGCTGCTTCTCTGGCTACTACGGCTACTACTGCTGCAAGTGCCGGTAAGAGTAAGGCGAGTCATGAACGTAATCTGTGAATATGTCTATGTATATAGGATAGAGGTATAAAGGCATATATACACAAACATGAATATGTGCGTGTATATATACATACGCACATATTGCTATGTCTTCTTCATTATGCGCATATAACTTGCATATACTTGCTGGTTGTATAGCTGCATCTCATTCATCCACATTCTTTGGCCTGCTAAACCTCTCTTCCTTGGTTTGAAGGTTGAGCATGGTCCGCTCTCTAAGAAAAAACGCTCATGAACCATCAATGTTCAATTAAAAAAGCTCAAAATGAAAACCTCAACATTGAACTTTTGCAGTTGTTGAACTTTAAAGGTTACTCACGTTTGCTCCAGGTTGCAGAACTGCTTGCAAGCCGGCATTGGCTTAACGATCTGCACGTTTGATGGTTAGTGGCTAGGGCACAAAAGCATGGGCCCTGCACTCTAACTTCTCATCGCTTAACTGTTTTTCGGATTGTGCACCCACGGGTAAACCAGGGTTGTGGTTCATGACCTAAACCTAAACTTGTTTATGAGAAGACGGGAAAACTTGAGAAAGCAATCTGTGTAAATGTGAAACTTGCAGGATACGCAAGGGTTCTAATGGAGCTTGAAACAGGGTTGTGGATAATAGACCGTCGTCTCTACGACCTCTTGACACTCGTTATCCGCAAAGTCCCGAACCATAACCAGGCTTGGACGGGTCGTTATGCATTACCTCTCCACCGACGACACACGCTCCACTCTCCCGCACAATGGATGGCGTTGTGTTGAAAAGATGTTCTGTGCTTTGAAAAGCTGTCATAATCAAACAAAATTTTCGCTGAGACATCACAGAACCTGTCTTGGAACTTTAGAGCTTCAGGAACATGTGCCAGAATTTGCCAGAAGATCTATCAATAACCTAAGAGTCCATTTACCACCTTTTTGGCATAAATCAGGGCTGCAGAAGCATTAACTGAAATTCACCGAGGTTCGTGATGTGAATTATGAAGTATGACAGTCGATGACAGTCGTATTGGTGAGATCCGGGCCCACAGGCCTCACGCTCTATCGCCCCGGCCCCCCCTCCTCCGACGCATCTCCTTCCGCCCTCCCCCTCCACCCTTCCCCAAATTAAAGAAGAAAGTCGACGAGTTCTGTCACAGTTCTGGTTTCCGGCTTGAGCAGTCTGCCACTTCCGTCAAGTCGAAAGCGGCGGGGCCTATACACATATGTACAACCATTTCTTTGTACGTAAATAGATAGCTAAACAGATTCGCTGATGAGAGCAACAAGGGAGTTCCTGTAACTGGAAATAAACGAACGGTGACAAGACTGGGACCCAGCTGCCATCGTCCGGCTCCTGCTCCGAAAGTCCGCCTCCCCCCCCGCTCACGCACCGAAGATCTGCTTCCGAGGTCCCCTATAAACCCCAGAAGTGAAGCTTAAGTCGGATGCGGCGCAGTGCTGCGGCCGGACTCCGGGCTCCAGACTTGCGGACTCGAGGAAGTCGATCAAGGAGCTGTGAGCGCCTCGTCGCTCGGAGCCGTGCCAAGGGAACCTTCTCTCACACACCCTTCCCTAACCATGCGCGGGCTGCCTGCCATCCGGGCCACGGCCGCAGGGGTGTGGCCATGATGGTCCCTCGCGTGTGAGACGCATTGAAAACGATGTTGGAGGGAGTCCATGCTTCGGTGATCCTTTCTGACAAACAACGCCTGCGCTGTGCAATTCTGAGCTTCGCGGCTATTTTGTCCAAGCTCAACCGTGCCTGGCATCCAGTTTGGCACCATAGGCGCAAAGCAGCAGCGTCGCCTTCGCCTGCCCAGCCCAGAACTGACGGCACTAGCCTGAAGCCGCTCTATTCATCATCTATGCCGATGCCGTGAAACCTGCCAAAGCCTGGCACATTGCACCTCAACTACAAACGGAAGGCACATCAGGTGTATCACTTCGGCCTCTCGCAACTCCAGCCGCTCAAGGCCGGCATAAGCCACAGCTACCTGTTTCATTCACAGAAGTCTACCGGGCAGACAAGCCACGAAGCAGCTTTGCTGACGAGTTCGGCAAGCGATTTTCCGCTTGCAGTTTGGGTGCAGCACGAGTTCTGAGTGGGTTCTTAGCTCCTGCCCTTGACTGCCTTCAACACTCTCTCGCATGCGCATGAGAAGCTCTCTTCAGGCCTACTTCCCGAAGGGTTTTAGCATTGTGTTTTCCCTGCTGGGCGCAGTCGGGATGCATGCAGCGGAACCACGCCGAAGTTGTTCGCGGCCGAGGCATCTGCGCCTGAACTCAAGTCCGTCAAGTGTCAAAAAACAGCACTTTCCTAACATCTCAATACACTTCACTTCCCCCCACATTCAGGATTCAGGAGACTGGATAGTCCACACTACGTCTTGTGGCATGCGGCGCAGTTTCTTCCCATCGTATGCTGTATGGTCGCCACGTCTTCAGCCAAATTGCCTCGCCTGCTTTCAAGAGCAGCTCGATGGTGTCCAGCTGCTGGAAACAATTTGCAAAGTGGAGTGGGGTATCCTGCCAGATGAACCCTGTCAAGCAAACCTTCCAAGACTGCCACTTGTGCTCTGGAGTCCTGATCCGCCGTGCGTGCTGTGATGTCTGCTCGACTAGACACCAGCACTTCACAAAGATCAGTGCTGGAGGTAGCAGAGATGTGAAGCCTGAAAGCCATGCGCACCGGTCTGATCTGTCCGGCCACGACTCCACTGTTTCTGGGGGACTAGCGACCGCAGCTGATGCACCTGGGCTCAGCCCGGGCAGTGTCTTGTACACGTCGGACATGTCGATTGATCCGGTGGCAAACGGAAAGCGGCGCGCAACCCTTTGATATGCAGCAGTTTTCGCAGGTTTGCGACCAACACGATGTCTTGGCAATACTGCGAGACACGACACGTCGATGTCACAGGAACACCAAGACAGCCATCATGCGCCATGGGAAGGAGAGAGAGAGAGAGAGAGAGAGAGAGAGAGAGAGAGAGAGAGAGAGAGATTGTGTTGCCTACCGTGCTGGCGATCGTGAAACTGCAGCTGCCCTTGCACGTATCCTCTATCATCCTAGCAATCTTTTCATCCTTGCTGTCCTGGAAATAGTCGAAGATTTGGGCCTGTGGTCGTCATCGAAGTTCCGCGATTCCTGACGAGCCTTTCCTGGAGCGCACATGTTGCGTGTCACTTTGCCGCGTGTTGCTCAATGAAACCTCTGATCAGCAAACTGCGAGAATTGACACTTTCCCTACGACGCGCGTTCGCGTAATTCCTGCTATAGAAGCATTGCGAGTAAGGCTCCGCACGGTATTGATGTCCGGATCGATGTCGTAGCCCAGCAGAAGCTCAGCAACCTGACCGAGCAAAACATCGACGATGTAGGCGGTAGACTGCTGGATGCATTTCTTTTCATCGCAGCAAGGCATCGTGGAGTGGAGCAGCGGGCACCTCCGCATGGCTGCAAATCGCGGCAATGTGCAGTGGAGTCAAATCTCCCTTGCGCTGGTGCCTCAGAGCGAAGATAGCACTGCATATATATTTTCATGTGCTTTGTGAACTGCCCCGGAGCACAATCAGCTGGGCTACATCTCACATCTTTCTGTGGCATACACTTCTCCATCATCCGCATTCCATGCGCCAACAGTTCCGATCTCCGAAAAGAAGCAGAAACTGCACCAGACCGGACCCGAAGTCTGGCCGGATTTTCGTGCTAGATTCCAGCTTTTTCTGCGATCCGCCGTGGACTGAAACCGCAAGCACACTGCAAGCAAAGCACCACTCACCCCCAGCATCCCTCGAGCAAGCGACCCAGAGTCATCCTCAGCCTGAGGGTTGGACCAGTCTTGAACGGCTTTCTTTGAGCCGTTGGCGACGACCTGCGACACCCGCAACAGCTTTCGGAAGAGCTCTGACCTTGAGCTGAGGTAAAGATCAGAGTAAAAAGGAATGATGAGCAATGTGTGCCGGTGTTGTCCTCCTCCCGACCAAACGAGATCTGCCAAAATTGCAGGAGAGATCAGAGGCGAGCGGCCCCAAAATGCGAGAGATATCTTTGGACACCCCCTCACCATATCCGCAGACGAACGGATCTGCAGAAAGCGCGATTCGCTCACGTTCTTTGGCGCATCCTATGTGAAGTGCAGCGCGCTTTCCCACAATTGGAGGCCCAGCACGTCTAGCGGCCTAGCAGAAAGCCTGACAGACGGATCAGTTTTCCAGATTCACAAATGCCTGCCTGCACCGCCGACACGGATCCCTCCCAGCAAGCGATGTGCAAAGCGCTCCTGGCGCCGTAGCCTCGGAGTACCAGGGTGCACGGAATTCCACAAGGGCAGGAGCTCCAGGCCCTCAAAGAGATGACTGGCTGAACTTTCCCCCTGCTGTGAGAATCCTCAATCCGACGTGGCGCACCTAGACCTAGCAGGCCCGCGTGCGCTTCCTACCCAGACCCCCGGGAGGATCTAGAAAGTAGATCCCCTAATTGGGGCCCTATACTACTACTAAGGGTACTTTATAGGAACCCCCCAAAATGGGATCTACTTTTTGGATCTACTCTTGGGGGTCTGCGCCTATTTGCGGAAGAGGAGCCACTTGTGAGAAGCTCCAGGAGGTATGTTGCAAGGATCCTTGGTACGAGGACCGTCGCGGGAAAAGTCGTATTAGGGTTTAGGGTTCCTGCAGACCTTGGCTTCTTCTTTAAGGTCTAGGGCCTAAGCTTTTTACTCAAAGCGCCGTTCTTTGCAGCAAGTGCTGTTGATGGCCGCCTTTATGGCTGCTCTTAGCAGTGCAGACGCAGTTCGAAAAAGAATCATAGATCACAACAGTGCAGCAAAGACCTCGACATACCGACAACCCTCGCGCGAAAGATCGCGTTTGCTGCTCAGCCCACAGCATTGAATTCTGCACAGTGTGCAGAATCATCGTGTTGGCCAGACGCCTGACCGCCGAGCTGTGCAACACAAAGGCCCCGCTTTTTGCAATCTTGGCGTGTCTCACATCACTCCGCAAGAGAGAGGGATTCCACTCGAAAGACGCCCACTCGCAACAACAAATTGCTGCAGGGACAGGGATGTCTGTCCATGGGTGTTCTCCCGTTGCGAGTCGTGGAGTTGGCGCATGTTCCCGTCCAAGACCCTCTTCTTTCAGGACATTTTGACCAAAGTGGAACATGGGCTTGCACGCAGTACTCCGCTTACGCATGGCTTCTTCAGGCATAGACGGGTCGATCTTGGCATGCTGGGCGCTGAGCTGTGCTGCACAGCAAGGTTGAGGGTTCGTGGCTGGAGCTTCAGAGAGTGCTCAGGCCAGGCTGTGAAGGGCTTGCTGGCAAATGGCGGCTTTGATTGAAGCTGGCATCGATGCCTGGTCCATGGCTCCGGAAGTGTGGCTCCCTGAACGGGTGACTTGCCTTGCGCGGAAGGCAGCGGAAAGAACTCTTCAACGAAGCCACGACATCGGCTCGGCGAATCTCGGCGAAGCCTTCTCTGTCGGCATCCGACGCTCTGCCTCGGTGCCAGACAAATTCCAGGTCAAGACAGGATGCGTCGTCCTAAGCCTGTAGTCGACATCGAGGTCGTGACCGTCGTAGCCACCGGAACGCGCCTTTGACACGCCGGACAAAACATCTGCAACATGTCGTGCGAGCGCTGCCCGCTGCCCCTTAGAGTAGTTTTTGGAGCGCCATCCCGACCGTTTCACTGAGCAGGTTTTAATGTTCCCCCGCCCTACGGTCACGCACCGTCGCTGCAGTCTGCCTGACCACCATGTCTGGCTGGAGAGCCGCGCGCATCTGGCGCCAGCCTGCGAAAAAGGGCAACCAAACGCGTCGGGACTGAAGCAGCGCTGCTGTGAAGCTTGGCTCATGCAAGCGTGACACAGTCCGGCCTTTGTGGCGCCAAACTGCGGCTTTCCGGCCCCTCGAATGCAGAAATCTGGTCAGGCCATATCGACAATCGGCACAACTGAACTTAGACTCGAGCCTTTCGTCTGCTTCCTGCACTGTCGAGAGGAATATGTACCAGCGCAGCCCAGGAAGCTTATGTCTTGTGCTATCACAGCAGAGTTTCGACACTCCGAAAAACTCCACTTTAAGTCCTGATGCTGGTGACCTGGCAGCATCCGGCAGATTGCAGTTGTTGACGGGTCCCAACAAAGCATAGAGTCTTAGAGCCCGGAATGAATGAACAAGCATGAATTCCTGAGTAGTCATGCTGCATGATCATATAAGCAGTCAAAAGGCCTCAGGAAGGGCCTGGGGCTCCGAGGGTGCTGTGTGCCCAAAGCGAGGCGAGGCGACGGCTCGACGACTGCCGGGCGGGTCCTCGACGTGCAGAAGCCGGGAAAGCGAAATTCAGTCACCGAAAGCCCAGCAGAAGCCCTCAACCCCTGCCTCGCAGAGTGCATCTCCTCTTTGAAGCTCCGCTCGACCTCACATGATCCGTCTTAGTCTTGGGGCATCGGATCAGCTTCTCGACGCAGGACCGTACCTGCCTCATCATCGCCTGGAGCAAGCTCGGCAACGTTCATCACCTGGACAGATCTGGATTCAGGGGTCCACACGGACGGTGAGCATGCCGGACAAGTGTCAGTGAAGCTGTCCGCCCAGGCAACTGTAAATGTAACCCCAAGGACTGGGCAAAATTGCAACTTCGGCAAAAGTGCGAACACACTGTTAACAGTAGTGTGACTCTGTGCTGCTTGCGACTGGATTGAGTTGTGTTGTGGCACCAGTCACGCTCATTTCAGCGTTGCCTGCTGATGCAGTGCCAAGACCCGCATACGGCCAAAACAAAGGCACAAGTGACAGTCATTGTGGATGATCAGAGCGTCTTTCGCCGGGATGTGCACAAGCAGCCCTGCAGCAACTCGACGCAGATGCCTTCGCCGACGCATGGCGCGGGGCGCTGCCGCTGGCGCTGCCGCTGGGTCGGGGCCTGCGGCACTTGTTCTGCGCCTTCGGAAAGCGGAAGTTGGACCTGGTGCCTGGCCACTTGAGGAGCGGACTCCTCCTTCGAAGCAGTTGCCCGAAGTCCTGCGCTGTCCTTTGAGCCTCGCAAAGGGCTCTCAAAGTTGCTGACTTCAGCAAAATTTCCTTGATTTTTTGCAATGTGCGCATTGAAACTGCTCATGGATTGCACACATCTTCACGAGACTCTGTGCAAGTTCGCACATCAGCGGCCAGGCGCCTGGCCTGAGGATTCCCAGGCCCTGCAAAGAGAGGTGAGATCTCAGGGTTTCTGGCTTCTCAGCGGGGTCTCAAAGCTTTCCTCAGAGGTTGGGAGAAGGTTTTGGTTTAGGTTGCAAGCTCAGCGTTTGCCAGGCTGTCCTACCGCAGAGCTGCAAGGAACGAACTTGACTCCCGACTTCGATTTTTGCAAACAGCCAGTCAGCCAGTCGGCGTCATCTTCCTGACGATCCCGTTATTAGTGAAAGAATCTGTGCCTCTCTGCCCAGAACTTTGCCCGAAAACCCAGTCATCGCCTCTGGTGTCTCTGCGGATCCGTGACAGTTTCTGGGGACCCCTGGGGGCCATGAGGATTTGGAAAAGTGCGAAGCCAAGTTTCACTCGCCAAAGCATGTGAGAGTGTTTCTGTGGTGAACAGAGCATGGGCAGGACCGGACGGGTGTAAAGTGGTTTAAAGCTTTTGGCGTAGTGAACTTCGGTTAGTTTCCGTTCCAACCTGCGGGTGCAGGAAGTTCGGTGGGTTTCAACCCAAAGTCAAACTTTAAGCAAAAACAGCAGGGATTTCGGCGGACTTTCACTCCAAAAATCCGAACTGAAGCTGTTTGCGCATGGGGCAAGCATCGCACAACAGCGACAGAAATCACCAGGCCGTGGCGACCCGTGTCACGACTGAAAGCTTCTGAACTTCGGAACAACTGTCATGCGGCTTCAGGCGGGTCTGTGGAGCCGAAGCAACACTCATTTGCGTGGGACGCCTCCCCGCTGACGGTGCAGCAGGTTTTTCATACCTGGAAGCTGAGAAGGCCAGAACTGAAACGTCGTCCGGTAATTTGCTGCTGGAAGGATCGCCAAATACTCTTCCGCGAACGGTGGGGGAGCACTTTGCCGCTGGTTTGGCACCTTATTTTCATTTGACCACCCAGTAACACATGCACGCCTGAGATGAGACCGCGGTTCAGCAAGGGCCCGCGACTCACCTGCCAAGCTCCGAAATGAGGCCGCCGCTTTTTCCAGCTCCCATGAAGCTGCCACGGCACTTCGGGACTTAGGAGATTACAGACAATTGGCTGAAGGGTGTGGGCTTAAATGGCGAAGGCCTGCCATGCGTCTAGAGAGCGCAGACTCCTTGGTGCCTCGATGTGCCTTGTCTTATCTCATCTCGGGAAACTGATGGACACCGAACCGTGCAAATTCAGGACTGGGAGGCACTGTACCTCTTGTGTTGCATGTGTCTTGCTGAAGCCTCAACGACGGCGATGTGCAGTCAGAAGCTCACAAGAGCTGAACAGTCCAAGAACCTGGTGATTGTGCGCATCTTCTACTCTAAAGTCTACTTGATCCTGAATTTAAGAACCCCCCGCAGTCACTTCCTGCCAAAGGAAGGATAAACTGACCCCAGAGCAATGCTCAGAGTCGTTGCACACCCTTCGGGACCGGGCGAATCCGATTCCCAGGCACAGTTACACACGATTACGAGGGTCGGAAGCGAGCGAGAGCGCGTCATGAGCAGAAGGAACCCTTGTCGTAACGGAGCCTCGTCGAAGCACAACTCAATGCAAGCTAAAGCAACAAGTGTGTCGGTTCTTAGTTTAAAATACTTGCTATTAAAATGCAACCTAAAGAGACCATCGCACTTTCGTGTCCGACTAGAACCCTCAAGGTTACTATATTCAGACTCACAAATCGCACAAACTGACCTAACGTGAAGCAACCATCGTGTTCAACTATTGTGCTTCAACACTATGGGTGCAAACATCTCCTTCCTCCAGGCACTTCTAAGCTACATGGTCACGATGTCTTTTCCTACACCTGCTGCTGCGTGGGGGATTGATCTCAACTTGGTTGCTGCTCTCCCCACCAGAGCTGTAATGAATGTAGGTGTGGCTGGCTAGCACTCTCCACAGACTGGACCCTGTCTCTCTCTCGTACTTCCACACGTGCGATCCTATGCAGGCAGAACCGGCGGCCGTTCCTTTTGCACTCACTGCCGGCGGCGGTTCGTCTGTGCAACGGGATAGCTCTGATTGCTCAGGATAGAAGACACATATAGCACTTAGCTATGGGCATTGACTTGAGCCAAACGTTGCGTTGGCGGTCACATAGAAAGGTAAAGACGAGGGATGCGTAGCATGCCCCCTAGAGTCGAGGGACGCGTAGCGTGCCCCCTTCTCTTGCACTTTACACGGTCTTGCTCACAGCTCTTATAGTGACACCTTAGAACTTGACAAGGCATCGCAGTCCGTTCGCACCCCCCATGAGTTGCGTCTCCGACGCTGCTCACCCGGAAGATGGCACGATAGGACAGAAGAAAATTCCGCCGCAACGTTGACATTGAAAATCAGAGCTTTGTATCCCAATTAGAAACGTTGTGACACTCATCTACGTCAGTAACGATCCCCTGAAATGACAAACGAATCAGGCGTCACCGAAGAAAGAAGCATTCGCGATGGCATTCCACGGGCGAAGCTCAGAGGTCACGAACTGATAGGCGAGGAAGATCAGGCGTTGTCTCGCCACCATCTTCGCGTTGACGTAGGATCGCGTTCCCAGGGCCGGAGGTTCTCCTCTGGATATGGTTCCTTGGCTTTCCCTTGTCCTTGCCTTTGTTTCGGCCTTTGGCGGCGATGTAGTCGTGGTAGGAATTGGTGTTCCAGCCACCATGTTGCTCGCCTCCGGTTCTTCCACGCCCTTTTGAAGGTCCCTTGGATGAAGAAGCGCTTTCACGTTCCTCCGTAGTGACAGGCGTGTCCAGGATGGAAGTACCACCTGGAGGAAGATAGTCAGCAGCCGAAATGTGATGTAGGGCTTCCGTACGCCTTGTCGTTGGGTTTTGCTGTCTCTCAGTCTTGGACCTGTTCAATCTGTCCATGAAATGCGCAGGCATCTGAACACTGTGGTCCACCAGCAAGGCAATGGTCTGGACTGATTGATCAGAATGAGTCAGCAGAATACCGACGGGGTCGATGTACAAGAAGTCCACCGGTCCATTTGGCGTTGGTCGTAACACTGAGAATTGTTGGTGTCCCGTCACCATTGGGATCACCTCGCATAGGACGTTCAGGCAACAAAAGTGCATCGCCTTGACATCTTCATCCCTGTCGCTCTTCAAGTAAGTAGTAGGGCTGAAGTTGTCCCTGCCAATTCCCATCATGTTGGCTCCCCGTACAAGTAAAGAAAGCATCTGGTTCGTCCGGAAGCGCTTCAAGGTGTAAGTCCCGTTGGGATCATACTGTTTGAGGTTCTCAGGCTCCTTTGCAAAGCGAATGATCTCCTCATCAGTCACGTCCCTGCTGACACCCTGTTTCCTTATCCACTGCTGCCAAAGATCCCCACTTTCCAAGCACATCATAGCGTTGGCCCAGTGCGAAACTTTCCCTCATCTGAAACAACGGCATAGTCGCCCACTTTGCGAATCCTGACCAAGCTTTGTAGATGGATCTGCATACCACGTATGCCATGTACGACAGAGCGGTCATGTTCGCGTCAATGCAATGGGCATTTCGCTTTCCAGAATAGTAAGATGGCTGCATGGCGGTACGTGCAAGTTGTAGCTCAGGATCGATGTTCAAAGACTGGCCGGTGAGGAAGACGGGACGACGTTCCTGTGCGATTGCTTCTGGAACTGCGTCATCAAAGTCCTCTTCAGGCTCAACGTCCATTTCTTCATCAGGTTCCTGTTCTGGATCGTCTTCCGCGACAACAGATGGTTCTGGGATTTCTTCAGGTTCCGCAACGGTCTCTACCTCCATGGCTTCCTGCTCCTCTTCGGGCGCCTCAGGCACTGCGGCTGCTGCGGCTTCCATTGTCTGAGCAATAAAGTCACTGGGGATCTCCGTAGGAGTATCCCGTTGTGGAGAACCTTGATAATATCCGCTTGAAATGAACTGTGACCAGCAAGACGTGCATCGGGAGAAACATGCTGGAACAATGTTGTAGCATGCCGGGCATACCCTCATTCTCCTTCCATCCTCGTCTCTGCGTAGGTCTTCGGGTCGCCAATTCTTGATGACAAACTTGATTCCTTTGTCCATGTAGTGATGCCGAACCGTGTTCTCCCTGTGGGACTCCAGGACAGTCGTGAGGTCTCGAATGATCTGCTCCTTGCTTGTGTCGTGGGGTCCAGGAGGCATCTCGCAAAGCAATTCCATGATCTTGCTTGGCGTTCGGTATCTCTCGAACTCGGGAAGCAACGGTGATGCATTGTAGTCCAACACCAGCTCTTTCTCCAACCTTTCATCGTAGATCTTTTCCACCAGAGCGAAAGAGTGTGTATCTCGAGGATCAGGGACGCAAAACCATACCTCCTTGACGAAATGGAAAGGTATCGTCCGACCAACGATCA